TAAAAAATATATATTTGAAAAGGCGACCCCAAAGTAAATGAAAGTGAATAGTATAGGAGAAAAAGTTAAAAATATAATAGAAGAAATTGTGAACGTATTCATATTTTTAATCATACAATATTTGACTAATTCAAAAATTAAATTTATAATACAAGTAACAAAAACAGCTAAAATATTAATGGCGTAATATGGTAAATATCTTTCACCAGTAGATGCTTTAATTATGTAAGAAGCATAAATAATACAATCTATTAAATAAACTACAATAAATAGTATTTTAATAATTTTAAAAAATTGCCAATAAGTAAGACTTTTATCAATAATAATTATTTGAATCAATGAAAGTATTGGTATAATCCATAATAATATAATTAGAGCGGGTAGCACCTTTCCCACATTTATATCTCCTATACTAACTGCACCACTATAAGCCAGTGCAAGAGTAAGGTACGTAAAGACGATACAATAGCTGTTTCCACTTATAGTATTTTCGTCTCCACTTAATAAAGAAAGTAATTCGGTACAGAAAAATATTATCGACAAAGCAAAAGCAAAACCCAAAATTATATTTATAGAAAATGATTTGGATGTATAAGAACCGAATTCTTTAACTTCAAAATATATCCAGAGAGCAAAATAAAGTAGAAAGGATATAATTTTCAATACACTTATAACTATGGATGCCTCTTCTTGATCCATTTTCGTTTATCTTTGAATTTTTAAGTACAATATAAAGATTTTAATAATTCACAGAAATTTATATATAATATCATAATATTAGTAACAAGTATAACATTAATTCATTTGCCGATTATTTATGCTAAAATTTCTTTGTTTATATTCTGTGTAGGGTTTTATGCAGTTAGCTTGTTTATATGCATATCTAATTACAATATATGTTATTTTTATAAATATTTGTTATTATCTAACCACTCATAGGGAGGCGTTTTCTGAATAGGTGATGTAAATCAATTGTCCGGAGTACTACTTTTAAGAATGCAATGTTCCACTAATAAAAAGGTATTATTCGTTGCTTTACAAAATACCAACGTCCATTTAGCAAAAAAGATCGACTCCCAGAGAACTTTAGAATACAAAATCATTGGACCATACTAAATATATAACTATATACACCATATACCATAGATAATCAGCCGATTAAAATAAGACGGCCGCCATATTTGCTAAATCTACAATCATCGATGCTGATTCTCAAATATCCAAGACCATAGGAAGACTTTCGTATGATTGGCTGTTTAAATCAATTTAATTTTACATTATTTATACAGTTTAAAGTACATTTTAAAAAAGTAAACTACTAAGAATAAACAAAAAGATGTATATAGAATTTTTTATTAGGTTGTAGGACTCCAGTATTAAAAATAATCAAAATCATTCCTGGTTTAAGAGAAGTTAGCATGGTAATAACCTAATTCTATCTATCTTTAAGAAGTCGCTATTATGCTAACTTTTCTAAAACCAGAAATGATTTGATTATTTTGATTATTTTTATTCTAGAGTCCTACAACCCTAATAAAACTTTCTATATACTTTTTCTTGTTTATTCTTCGTAGTTTTAATTTTTTTAAAAGTACATTAAACTGTATAATAATGTAAAATTAAATTAATAAACAACCAATCATACAAAAGTCTTCCTATGGCATCCAAGGGTGTTCTCAAGCAGCTCAATCAATTGATTATCAAGCGTCACATCTATTATTTTTCATAATCTTCGTTATACCTTTAAAAAAAAAACAAAAAAAAATTTATTTAACTAGCTGCCAAAGCTTCAATTTCAGTTGCCCGACTTTTAAGGATTCGTTAGCGAATGTTGCTTTACAATAACAAGGAGTGAATTTTTTTTTGTTAATAATATTTAAAATTTAAAAAATTTTTTGTTTATAAGCAGCCTATACGTAGTAACTCTGCACTTGTTATTTCGCACTTCACTAAGAGTAGTTTAACCTTCATTATCCGTTAAATATGGAAAAATATTATCCCAAATCTCCATTTCAAATCTCCATTTTTGGGTCGAGAAACCTTTTAAATTAGATATTCATTATAGTTTGATTAAAAGATAGGTCGTATTTATTACATTCGTATTAAAGTACAGTAGCAATTATTTGTTTTAGGGAGCTGACAATTATTAGGTAATTATATCCCCAGGAAATAATTATGTCATACTGTATTAATTGCATTGTCGAATGAGTATTCCCTGGGGTATAATTGCCTAACAATTATCAGCTCCCTAAAAGCTTCGAACTTTTTTAAAAAATTATTCTTTTGGATCGGGTAGAAATTTATTGAGGCTGTATTGTTTAATATGTTATTGACATGTAAAAAATGTAAAAGTAATGCTTTAGCGATTTTTTTCACGATTCACTATTGGCCAATTTCTGTCGGTCATCACGTGAACGTCAACATCAGCATCAGCTGTAACATTTATTAAAAATTTAATTATTTAAATGCTTAATATAAAATGATTATATGCTTTAGAATCTGATTCTTAGAATCTTCAAGATGTAATCGTTTCTAGAAACGATTATTGCGGTTTGCAAAAAGGTGAGACCTCTGCAGATCACATGTCATGTAAAATCACGGGGAATTAGACGATTTTTCGATTCTAAGGGAATTATATAGATTTCCAAATAATTATAGATATTATTCCCAATAAAAAATAAGTATTTATAAAAAAAAACACCAAAATAAAGCATTGCAAATGTTATGGGAATAATAATATCAATACTATGATTCTCAATCCTACTTTCTTCCCCCTTCTTTTTGATCACATAACTTGTATCATATTCTAAATTAATGGTCTCAATAATAAAAGAAATTAAAAGATTTTTAAAGTAACCAGTGCCATTAAGAGAATTGTAATATGCGAATTTAATAAATTGAATAATATAAAATGTCAAATAGATTCCAATAAAAACTGCCTTTATTAATTTAAAAAAATGCAATTGACATTCTTTTGCATAAATGCAATATTATGAATTAATGTGAAAGCCGATATTACCCATAATGACGCAGTCATTATATAATATAAATCCCAAATTAACTTACTACTAAGGCCGTTCGAAGTTAATTTTTCGGTTAACATCACCCCCCCCAGCTGAAGCCTCCCCCACCTCCCCTTCGAAAACGAACAGCCAATCAAAACGCTGGATGACTCTCGTCAGTCACCTGATTTATATCAACCAATGAAATTGGCCCATCTTTGTTCATTTTTATATGTTCGTTTCATATGTTCGTTTCATTTTACCCCCCTCCCCCCTCCCGAGGGTCCTGGAAAAGTGATGTTAACCGAAGAATCAACTTCAAACGGCCTAATGGTCAAAATAGTTAAAGCTAGAGAAAGACTAAAATAAATGGGGGATTTTAATGAGTTTATACATATATGTAGATGAAGAATTGAACGTTGTCGGTTAAATATGTAGAAAAAATATAATTCGGCAAAAAAAAATATTATAGATGGCGCGAATACAGCAGCCATAATTATGCCTTCAACTAATCGATTAGAATCATTAAATGTCTGTTTAAAGGGATTATATATGGCGTGACATATTCAAAGGATTACGTAAGTCAAATATAAACCACATACATGCGAAGTGATGGAAAATCACGTGATCGAAAAGAAGAGCTAGATCTTCGGAAAGGCAAAACCTACATTGTTAGGCAAAACCTACATTTTTGATACTCCTGCACCTACTTTTTTGATACACCTAAACATACCCTAAAATTTATATACTTTT